GTCAGCAACATTCGAAACCATCGACTGGAAAAAGCATTCCTCTTGGTCTATTCGTTGTGACGGATAAAATTGTATAATTTTAGCACTCAGCAATGGATTCACTTCAATTGATGCGATTTTAAGACAGAGCTCAATTCAAAGAATCCTCGTTGTTACTAAATATGTTTACAAGGCCTGTGAATAGCGCTAATTTCCCTGCCATGCGCATATCTTTCTTTTTTGTGGCTGTATCCTGATTAGGCATCATCTTGTCCGCAATATGCTTATAGACTTTTCCATTCAGCATTAACGTAAAAAATACAAAAGCCGTCGTACCATCTGAAATCGTTATATATAATTGTCTCGGTATTATAATCAATTTTATAATAAGTGTTTTCTCTCCGATAGCATAAACAAAATTAATTTTAGGAAATGTAAATTATTTTATGTTTTTCTGAAGGTAGAATACAAAACAAAACTAAAAATCAAGTTCTTTTCAAATAATAGACAACTTGAATTAATTATATAATTAATGTTTATAAGAACAATTTTATATTACTTTTAAAAGGAATGTTTAGAACACTGATTACACTTACATTTCCTGGTTAGCGCTTATTTTATGACATGTTGTATTTTACAAATTTTACTTCCAAAACACAGAAAATACCTTCCAGCCTGTGATGACACCACGTATACGCCAACGAACCTGCACGGTATCGTTTTCAGAATGCATTGTGTATGATGTCTTTAGGATGTCAAGCTTGACGTGTGCAAACTTCATATGACCAATGAACCTTAACCTTAACAGTATCAATTGCTTTGCATAACTCACAAGTCCCCTGCAATATTTTTTAAGCATATTATGAGAAAATGGAAATACTTAATGCTAAAAACTATCAATTGCTTCGAATACTTAATAAAATTAATTTTCGTTACTCCTCTAATATTGCTGATAAAAATTATATTATAATAATGGATAACAGGGACTCAATTCACAAATATTTTAGCATAACTACAATACAAATTGCGCTATAGAACACTTTCTCGTTCTTTTCGACTTTTAAAATTTACAAGAAAGCATATACATACATACATGTGCAATTTTGGATACACCTTCCTTCTTAACGATCTCTTCGGTATCAGCTCCCTGCGGTCAATATATAGCGGCAAAATTGTATACCATATAGTTGAATATAAAATGTTCCTGCGTGAGAAAACGAGAGAAAAGAAGGACATTTATAATAGGTAATGACACGCGATACGAACCACGCAATAGTGTTAATTCGGGATTGAAGGAAAAAAGAGGGGGTAAAGGAGAAGAGATTCTTACAATTAGAGGCACTCTGTAGCAACTCGTATTATCTAGCACAGGAGGACCTCTTGTGCTAGACAATTATTCCTCAACAGTGTCTGAGAATTATTATATTTTGAAGACGCGAGATTGTACATTCAAAGCATCTAAGTTAACGAAAGTAAAGTACAATATAAACATTCTTCGGAGAAATCTTTATTACGCGATAGTGCCTGTCGCACGTGCATACAAATACAGATCACTTTCTCGTTCTCTTAACTTTTACAACTTTTACAAGACAACATATATACGTACGTGTGCGATTTTGGATACACCTTCCTTCTGAAAGATCTCCTCGGCATCAGCTCCCTGCCGTCAATATATATTTCATTATCACTATCATCTATCACGCGGCAATGGTTACGACTCTGTCACTGTCACCATCTTTTTTTTAGGTTACCGCTGTATTCCAACATAGATCGGTCTTTCTTAACAGCTTCATGCGTCTGTGATTGAGAAAGAAATCTGATAAGTTCTGTATACCAGCTCAATATAAGCAACATATACATATACAAATATGTATATATATTTTAGATAAAAACAGTCAGTAAACTTTTATAAAACAATACTCTTTGAAATAATACAAGCGATAAAATAATTTTTATAATTACCTCTCTATATATCTTAAATGTGCATGAAT